ATTTCTGCTGCCCCCTGTTTTGCCTTTGTTTTTTCTAAGATTTGGAGATGGATGATGAGCCCCCAAACACCCTGCCCACCCTGGCCATCTGCCCGGGGCCTGTGTGGTCCTGAAGACAAAGATCAGCTTCTGTCCCGGTTTTTGCTGCTGAAGCCAAGGCAGGAAGGCTCTGGGGCAACACAGAGCCCACCTTCCTGAGCTCAGTGTCCCTGCCCTTGGGCCCTTCCACCAGAGGGGCTAACATTTGCTGCTTGTTTGCACGTGCTGGGCCTGCGTCGAGCATTTTACATTCATGATCTCACCTGGGAGGGTGGTTCCTCTCTTACTCTTGGTTTTCGAGTAAGGAAACTGGGCTTGGAGAGGGTAGGCCACCTGCTCAAGGCCAAACAACATGTGGCAGAGCCCGGGACAGGGCTCTGGGACTTCTAGACCCCACAGCCCTGCTCTTCACCACCAGGCTGCGCTGTCGCTGCAGAGAAAATATTACCAGAAAGGGATGCCACTCAAAATCACAACAAAACCACGAAACACCAATAGTAAACTTCATAATGAGTCAGACCCTGAAACTTTACTAGACAACTCACGTACACGGGATGAGTCCTGCTCCGGGTGGGAAGAGGTCATCACAGTAAAAAGCCCATTCCTCAACGTCTCCCTAAAGAACGTGCAATGACAGACAGGCTGTTCCCACGTGGGCAGGAGCTTTCACTGTCCCTTTATTTGCTTATTTTTTTGTTAATTCCCACCCGAGGATATTTTTCCATTGATTTTTTTTTTTTTTTTTTTTTTTTTTTTTTTTTAGAGAGAGATTAGAAGAGAGGGAGAGAGAGAGAGGAGAGAAACATTGATGTGAGACACATCCATTAGTTGCTGCCCACATGAGCCATGACCTTGGTTGGGGAGGGGCATGCCTGCCACCAAGATGTGTGCCCTTGACGGGAATGGAACCCAGGACCCTTCAGTCCACAGGCCAATGCTCTATCCACTGAGCCAAAGCAGCTAGGGCTCACCATCCCTTTAAACAAGGGCGTATGAGGCAAGAGTAGACATCATCATTCCCATCTATCAGATCAAGGAGGCTGGACTCCTTGCCCAAGGTCCCTGGGAAGAAGGGGCGGGAGCTAGGATTCAAGCTCAGGCCTGGAGGCCAACTGCTCAGATGCTACGTTCAGTCAGAGGCAACCTGCCTCCCTCCAGGTCTCTCCTAAGACTGATATTAAAAAAAAAGAAAAAAAAATGCTACATGTGTTTGTTTGTTTGAAATAGTCTTTATTTCTTAGAGCAGTTTTAGGTATACAGCAATACTGAACGGGAGGGAGGCACCGAGATTTCCCACATCCACCTGCCCCTGCATAGCCTCTCCCGTTATCACCGCCCACCATCCCCCACCACATTGGATATAATTGATTAACCTACACTGATGCCATCATTATCCCCCCAAAGCCACAGTTTACATTAGGACTCCTGGTGTACCTAGTGTGGGTTTGGACAAATGTACAATGACAAGTACCCACTGTCACACCTTGAGGGTTTTAAATGCCGGTGGAGATAGCTGTGCTTGGGAGCGGGGTGGGGTGAGGGATGACCTGAGACCCCTCCCGGGCCAGCCACACCATCAGAACATGGAGAGGACCCGTGGGGCTTTTGGGTAGAGCTCACTCAGGTAGCTCAGGCTCGGGAGGCAGCCAACAACTGCATCTTCCCGGCAGGGGCAGAGGGGCCCCGCTCCCCACCCGCATCCAGTAGGAAGCTCCGAGCATGCGCCCTGCGTTCCACGCTGTTGAATCAGGGCACACGGTCACGTGAAAACAAGTAAGTGGATCTTTGGCTAAAGGGAGGATTTCTGTTCTGGTGCTAAGAATATCAATTAACTCCTTCAAATTCTTTCTGATAAAAGGGAATTTCAGACAAAGTCTGCAAGGAGCAGGCAGTACTGAGCGAACAGCCACTTATCCTGAACAACGGGAAAACAGAGACAACTGAGGAGTCAGAAGGCTGTGTACTACTGAGCTGACACCGGGACAGAGCGGAGGACCAGTAGCAGACAAGACATACCCGCGGGGCCAGGTGCCGGCGGGACTACGGAACCTGGTGGAGGGCAGAGCTAGGTCTGCACCCCGCCCCTCCCTGAGCCCAGCTCTTGCATCACTAACACCTGCGTACACTCGTCTCCTGAGGCCAGCGGCTCTCACTAAGGGCAAGAAGCACGTGCGTTAATTCACAATCATACTGGGAGAGAAAAACATTTGCAATGAGATGATGAATCTAATGTCTCCAATATACAAAGAGCTTCTAGAAATCAATAAGAAAAGTGGACAAAGGGTCTGGGGGCTAACGGGAGACCTTTCTCAGAATACACACCCCTTAACACCCAAGCAGAACTCTTCTCAAGAACTTGTAGAACAAGAGCAAGTGGCCAGAAATGAGGAGGATGATGCAATTAAGATACGAGCCTCCCCCCATCTCCCCAGCTGGTTCTGAAGGGGTAACCAGGCCGTGGGGTGAAACACAGGTATGGTAGTTATGTGACTGAAGGAATAGGCTTTGGAGTCCAACAGACCTGGTTCTGAGGGTGCTCCACCACGTCCCAGCTGTGTGCAAGCTACTTACCCTCCCAAGGCCTTTGCTTTCTGAACTGCAAAAAGGACCCTCCCAGAGAATTGCTGAGGCCTCGCTCGATACTCCGAGTGAAGGGTGTAGCAGCCCCTGGCAGAGTAATGGCTTCAGACAGGAAGCTGCTATTAAGAATCATCCAAACTGTGGGAAGAGCTGTGCCTTGAGGCCCCCGGCTGGACAAAGGACCTTGCAGGGACTGCTGGGTCTGTTAGACTCCAGGAGCCTTTAATAGGAAGGTCCCCACACCCTCTACTCCTACCCCCAACCCCGTTTGGCTGTAGTCTGATTCGACTGAATGGCCTTCAGGGTCTTGAACCCCAGGGAGTTCTGAGTTGAAATCAGGGCTGTTCTAGATACCGCAGGAGAAGGGGACATTGTTTTGTTCATGGCTGGCTGTCCATTGCCAAGTATCCAGTTAGCCCTCAAAGTCGCCAGAGAGACTGGGCAGGGGGCACTTAGGAATGTGATTTTGGTGAAGAAGCAGGATGTGGTAGAATCAGGACTCACCACTGTTTACCGAGGCCCCAACCATTCCCTAGAGGGAAAGCAGGGACTCTTTCCTCCCCACCCCACCCCATCCCTCCCCCGCAACTGTCCCCAAGAGCAGGTGCCATCCTAGCCGCGCCCAAGGCCCACGAGATGTGCCCCAGAGCTCTGACAACATTCGGAGCTTCAGCAAATGGAGTTTCCACAGCAGAGGCCTGAACAGAGCTGCTTAATGGACTGCATCTCCTCCCTCCCATCCCTCTAAAGGCTCAGCACACAAAACCAACTGCAAGCAGAGGCTGGCTGGGATTAACCAGCTCCATTTAAAAGACTGAGGACTCAGCTGCTTCCAGTGAGATCCCAGGGAAGGAGCCAATCAGCCAAGTTCTTCTCTTCCTTTTTGTATTGAAATGAGGGCTGTGACTGTGCAGTGAGTCACTCTCAATCCAGGCAGAACGGGGCCAAGTCCACCTGGGCTCGCACTGCAGTAGTGGTGGGGAAAGGGAGAGAGGGTGTGTGGTTGCACACGTGTGTGGCTGCTTGAATGTGTGTGTGTGTGTGTGGTGGGCATACAGGAGGGGTCAAGGGCAGATTCCCAGATCATCTGTTTCGGATTTTTCTGGAAACACTGATTACCTTAGAGCGGCGGTTGCCAACCTTTCGGACCTCACGGATCACCAGTGATCCACGGACCACCGGCTGGCGACCGCTGCCTTAGAGGACCCAGGGGCAGACATCTGCTTGTCTGCATCTCCTTTCAGCTCAGGTGTAGGCTGAGGACAGCTGCCCTGGCACAGTGCCCCACCCAGCCTGGTACCAGCCCAGGGAGGACCGAGGTGGCTTACTCCATAGGGAGCTGTGTGCCATGTCCCTCTCTCCCCCACCCTCCAGCCCTTGTCCACTCCCACGTTCCCAGTGGGCACTGTGGGAGTCTGAGTCAGGACCCACAGCCTCGTGGAGGACCACAGCTCTGCCCGGAGCCCATGGCTGCCCAGGGCCTGGAAGAAGGAAGGAGGGGTGCGAAGGCCCAGCAGCCAGCATCTGACCTGCAGCCTGGAGCTGGCGTGGGTGACGGCGGGATGCCACCCTGGCAAGTGACAATGCTCAGTTGCAAATCCTGCCCTGAAAAAGCACCTACCCTAGCTCCCCGGAACAGAATGCTGCTGAGAACGGTGTGGGGAAAGGTGTGTGGCTGGAGGAGCCCCCAGATGGCAGAAGGACCCAGAGCCCAGCTCCCCCCATCGGCCAGCTCCCCACTCGGGGTTACTCCGCTGCCTGGGATCCCGGTCAGACTCTGAGCCTTTGCACCAGCAGCTCTTGGTGACCCCAACAAAGCAAAGCAGAAGGTTCCAACTTCGAACCTGAGGTCAAAATGAAGCCCAGTTGCAATGAACAGCACGACCAGCACTCACAGTGCTCAGCGTGCACACAGCCTGGCATGGAGGCATGTTCCAAGAAGTGTTTCATTCTCACCACCCATGTGCTCTTACTACCCTACTGTACATGGGAGAAAGGAGACGCAGGGTCGAGACGTGACTTGCTCAAGTTCAGGCAATGAAGCAAGGCCAGACCGAGCACTCGGCGCCTGACCCACAGTCATGCTCCCCGTTGTCACTCTCCACTGCCATCCTGGGCCAGCAAGCTGCCTGTGCAGACTGGTTTCCTTGCAGATGCCCTGACCCAGGGTGCCAACAGAGGAGGAGTCCTTACTCTCAAAGCCAAGGGCAGCAAACACAGCTTTCCCTCTGCTTGGGCATCTTACCAGGTATGAGGACCAGGGTACTTTCTAGGTGTTGCTTTAAGAGAACAAAACAAGCACCTCTCAGCTCCAAGAGCCCATGTCATTCAAAGGGATGGCCAGGAAGCCACGTCACAGGGGAGGGGTGTTGTGCACTTACCTCATCAGATTCATCCGACAGCGTCTGCAGGAGGATGGGGAAGAGGCTGTCCGTGTGCCGGAACATCTGCGGAGCGGAGAGCAGGGCGCCGTGAGCTCCCTCGCTCTGGGCCTGGGCTCAGCTCGGGCAGGGTCCCCTGCACGGACCACCTTCCCTACCCCCAACACTGACGGCTCCTCAAGCACCTGCCACTCCCCTGCATGCAGGGTTTCTCCAGAGCTGCAGTGACCCAGACCCTACATGCAGGCGCAGGCCCTCGGAACCAAGGTGGACCTGGGAAAATCGCCCCGGGCTGGGAGGGACCTCTGGGCCCACGAGGCTGGGGCTCACCTTGCGGGGAGTCTTGATGTAGAGGTGGTAAAGCCACTTCAGGACGGCGATCCGGGTCATCATGCCGATGGCCATGTCGCTGAGGTGGCAGTTCAGCACCTGCACAATCCCGTCCAGGTGGAGGGTGACCGGGACTCTCTCAGTGCTGGGGGCGAGACCGAGGAGCTGAGGCCACGGCAGCCCTCCCCAGCAAGCCCGCACCACCCACCCTGCCCCGCACACTCAGAACCACGTCCTGCCCGCTCCCCTGGCGTAGGGCGCAGACGCACACACGGTGGCCAGGCCTTTTCCCTCCCTCCTGGAAGCCACACCGGGAGGAAGGGGCCAGGCTGCTGGGGGCCCACCCACCCCCCCTTTTCTTGACCAGCACTGGCCTCGCTGCTACGGTAGAAAACCTCTCGAGTGTCACTGGGCTGGGCCCCCGCAGACCTCAGGGCTGAAGGCCAGGGAGCACCCTCAGCACATTCAGTCCGGACCCTGTGTGATAAATAAAGCCACCTCGTCCACAAATCCAGGAAAAGGCCCTGTCAACACCCCTTAGCCCCTACAGCGCCTTAGAACATTGCTCAGGGGAGGACAGGGACCGAGGCTTCTTGTCTGTCGGCCCCCAGGGCACTCAGCACAGGGGCAGCCTAAGTGAGCAGCCTTGAGTTGCCTCTGAAACTGTGACATTCCCGTTGTCCAGACGTGCTTTGCTTCAGCGGGACACGGACCCCGGCCTTACTGGCCAACGCCCTGCTGGTCTCCGGAGGGCTGGGGCTGCTGGGACATGGAAGCATGGGCCCAGAGGCTGGAGTTTTCGGGGATGGGACGGCATGGGCATAAAACCCGAGGATACTAGGGAGGGGCTATGACAGGAGTGACAGGGCCTCAGTTCCCGCCTGCACAGAATGGTCTTCCGTGGTATTTCCAGGCTGCTCAATTATTCATTTGCGCCAGGAACTCAGTGCCTGTGCTTCCCTAACTCGCCCGCAGCTTCTCTGAAGCTCATTTGATGTGAATTCCTAAAGGGCAAGGCTCTGAGCTTTGTAAGTGCTAAACGGAACTGCTACTTAATATGGTTTGATGATTCCCCACAGTGCTCGTTTCAAGGCTACACTGGGCACGTCCATCCTCTGGCAGCACAAAGCCCGAGCCTCTGGTCAGGGCTGCCCTGAGATTTCCCTGAGAGGCCCGAAGTGGGGAGTTCCGGGGCCTCCCAAGGACACCCAGCATCTAGGACCTGGGTGGCCTTAAACAGACGGGGAACTCCTGCACAGACCACTTGGGGCGGCACCTGTGGGCTCCCACCACCTCTCATTCAGCCTCTCTTTCATGCTCCCTGTCCAGGAGAAATACAACGGGAGCCACAGATGGAATTTAACGTTTCCTGGTTTTGTATTAAGAAGTAAAAAGAAACAGGGGAAATGAACACATTTTAATTAATCTGATATGCCCCAAATTTTACCCTTTCGACATGTAACTGATATCAAACACAGAGGTCACTGACAAGGTGCCTTCTATTTTTCTTGTGCCCAAGGCTTTGAAGCCCAGTGCGTCTCATGGTGACGGCACAGCTCGCGAGCCACGTGGGACACTGGCTTCTGCATGTGCGTGGACGGCACAGCTCCACACCAACCCACTCAGGGCTTCCTAAGCATTTCTCTCTGCCTAACCATTTGCTAGACGTTCCCTCTCCCTGCACGATCTACTTATCTTCAAGTTCTGCTTTCCCCATCCTGCTGGCCCCTACTGGCTCTTTGCGGTGAGCTCCCTCCCTGCTCCTCTCCCTGCCAGCGGGACCCGGGGCTGCAGGAGCTCCAGGAGCCTGCACAGCCCAAGGCCTCACCAAGGCAGGAGCTCGGAGGCAGAGGGAATGAACAGCAACCAACCCTGCGCCCAGCTTCCCTCACTCCCTAAGCCCCGGGTCAGGCCTGGGTGAGTCCCTTCCCCAGCAGAAGCGGCGTGTTCTGGCTGCCGGCTGGCTGGGAAGGAGCACCCGTGCCTGCCCCATGACTCCCCTGGGAGGAGGGCCTGCTTTCTGCCTGCCTGGGGACTGGGCTGCCCTGAGGTAGCACTGTCCTGAGCTGCTGGTGGGGAGGAAGGCAGTGCCAAACCCTGGCAGTTCAGGCCCCGGGGTGTGTATGAACCTGGGCTGGGGGGGGGGGGGGGAGGGTCAGGGAGATGCAGGGCTCTGATAACCATGAGGAGGATGTGGTGTTGGAAATGATAACGCACGTTTCTTAGGTAAATACTCTGTGTCAGGCCTGTGCTGAGCTCTGTACCAGCAGAGCCTCATTATTTCCCTCAGGCCCATACAATGTTATTCCCGTTTCTGCAGACGGGAAACGGAAGCACAGAAACGTCAGTAACCTGTCCAAGGTTACACAGCCAGGAGGTGGTGGAGCCGGAGATCTGAATTTGGGCAGTCTGAGTCCAGGCTGGCCTCCCTGACCACAGGGCACCCACTGCCCGAAGGAGCCAGGCTCAGGAGAGTCCACAGTGGCATCGGTTCCAACTAACCCCTGGCAGGGGCAGCAGGATGGCAGCCCCACATGGTGGAGGGAGAAAGGGGTTGTCACACACACTTTTCAGTGTATCTTCTCGTCAGGAGGGCAGACGAAGCCTCCATTAGGGAGAGAGGACACTGGGGAAGCTGGTATCTCTGGGGGAAACCCCGAATCTAGTGATCTGAAGGGGCGCGGGCTGGATGATCCTTGGACAGCAATGTTCTTTCATTCACAGTGATTCTGAGATGCTTCTGGCCAGCTCAGTGTCTTTGAGGGCAGGAAGCAAGAACCAGCCCATGGCATTCCTCAGGTGGCACTGTCAGGGCCAAGTAACAAAGGGAGGATTTTAAGGAGTCTGTATGCGAGCTGGCATAAGAGCCTCTGGCTTTTCTCACAGCACACCTCCCAGACATGGCACTTCAGACTGCTGAAGGGGTAGGTGTCAACCACTGCCTTAAACCTGAAAGGACCTCACAGTTCATGTACCCTGATCCTTCAATGCACAGATGAGGACTGAGGCTGAGAGAGGCCCAGAGAACTCATTTCTCAGCTGGAGACACTCCCCCTGGGTGTTACTTCCGTGACTGGCTGGAGGTGACGGTCGAGGGAAGCAGGCACGCCCCAGGAGACCGATCTCAGTGCTGGGAACAGGAGAAGTGATGAGCCCACCTGTCTCTGAGACGGCTCTGGGCTGCTCACCAGGTTGGGGGAAGGGGGAACTGCTGTGTGCTGGGCTCTGAGCATGCTCAGTGGGGAGCGAGGACTCTGGAAACATGGGCCCTCCCTGGAGAGTGCAGGCTGCGTGGCATGCTCAGCCCCTGAGCTGCTGGGCTGGAGCCCGAGGTGGGGCACCCCCCGCCCTGGCTTACTCAGTTTAAAACACACTTCTGCGTGGGTTCCAAAAAGTCTAGACTAATCACTCTTGGGGCTTCTGAGTTATTTCAAGGTGTCTGCAAAACCCCATTTCCACTGAGCGTTTTTTCATAAAGCATCTCATAACGAATGTCTTACTTGTATATGTGCTACAATTTCCGAAGGCATGGCGCTACAGTGGCTATTAAAATACCTCTTTGCTGAATAACGCTTCCGATACTACCTATAAATAACGACAAATTCCAGCGGTTCTCTCTGGGAGGCAGCACTTTATTTCTGTAATGTCTAACTCGTTATTGTACTCATATGTCACATCTCTAACCAAATCAAAAGGAAGCTAAAACTAAAACTAAAAAAAGAAAAAAAGAGAGTTTTTCTACCTTTTTTTCCAGTCAGCAGATGCTGAAAGCTGGGAAGCACGATTTCTAGATCTATTTGCTTGCCTAGTTCACGGACAGGGCCCCGGCTTTCCAGGGACCTGTCCTGAATGCCCTCAGCATCAGAGCAGAAGCCTGCTCACACGGAAAGCCTGTCAGCTCCTGGCCAGGGGGTTAAGCAATAGACGGAGCTCCTGCGGCTCTGCAGCCACGAGCATCAGAGCTTCCCGCGTGGGTTCGGGAGTTCCACCCTGGCCACTAATTAGCTGAATGACTTCGGGCAAAAGTCAACCTCCCTGGCCTGCTTCTTCACTGGTAGAGCGGGGCTGATCACAAGGTCCCCGTGGTAACAATTACAGCTGGAGTGTCAAGTGCTTTCTGTGGGCCAGGCCCATCCTATGCACTAGACACGGCTCAGCTCACGTAAGCTCAGGCCTTTGTGAAGGCGGTACCATCGTCACACCCAGTCTCCAGACCAGAGAGCTGAGGCTGCGAGAACGCAAGCTGTTTGCCCAGGGCAGCAAACCAGGCAAGGTGGAGCCAGGATGGACGCCTAGAAAGTGGGACTCCACTACGAGAGAGGAGGACTTGCCTGGTACAGTAAGAGAGAGAGAGAGATAAAGAGAGGGGGTGGGCATGGACTCCCATGGACTAGGACAATCCCTGTAGCCTCAGTTACAGAGACCCGTCTGCAGCAGGCCTCTCTGCTGTCAGTCTGCCCTCTCCCTCACCTATCCTTCCCGGATGCCAGAGGGTCTTCTAAACCACAGGTCTGCTCCCTCACTCCCGCCTGTACCGCTGGCTCCCACAGCCTCAGAACACAAGTCCATGTCCTCTGTGGGACACTGTCTCCCTGCTTCTCCATCCAGACTTCTCCCCCAAGTTCCAGAACTCACCACCCACACCTGCCCCCTTAACCACTCTAGGGGATGTTCAGAGACACCTTTGTCAGACTGGCCCTCTCACTCACCTGTCCCTCCTTCCGGCTTGGGAAACGACACCAGGTATCCTGATTTGGCTCAAGCCCCAGACCAGAAGTTATTCTTTCTGTCACTTCTCTCCTTTCACTGCACCCCACTAGCAGATTCTGTCACTTCTACCTTCAAAACAGATATCAAATCGATCCAACTTTCTCCCTATGCTGCCACCCCTTCAGGCTGAGCCTCTAGCCCTCCTGACCAGTCTGTACCCTCCCGAGTCCTTCCTACGTGAGTTCTCCGCACAGCAGCTCTGGGATCTCCTGTCCCTCCTCAGCCCTAACGTGGAGACAATAATACCACGGGACTGAAACATCGGGAAAGTCTAATGATGTGACACAAAGTAGCTGGCACGGCAAGGGCTTAGGAATCACGCAGCCACCGAGGGCTCCTCCCCGTCAGCCACCATTCCAGCCGCAGCTCAGCGCTATCGCTTGCCCCCCACACCAGAGTCCCCGTCATAGCAATCACTACCCTTTCTGGTAACTTCCGGATTATTTCTCTGCCTCCCCACAGAGAACCTCAAGGTCAAGGACCATGTTCAAGGGGGATATCTCCCCTTTGGGACCCGCAGGCAGGTGCAGGAGCGCACGGCACCTAACTGAAACGAGTGGATGAAGGAAGCTTACTGGTTTGCTTGAACAACTTGCGAATGGTCCTAGGAGTGGTGCATGTTTATAACCAGCACCCGCACACTTAGAAAACATGCACAGATCCTTAAAGGTAAGAATAAGTGGGAAATGATATAAAAGGAGGGAAGATCCAAGAGTCCGGGGAGAGCAGAGCCGCTTGGGACTGAGTGCACATTTTTCCTTCCTGAGGGACTGGTTTTCCAGGCCGGAGTTCAAAGGGAAGAAACCCTTTGCAGGAGAATCACTATCCACTCCGGCCCCACCAGTGCCAATTCCACCGAAGGGAAAAGCGAGATAGGCCGTGTCCTTAGAATCACTCAGACAAGGACAGCACGGTGATAATTCCTTCCCAGGGGAATGCCCTCACCCTGCAGACTAGGGAGGGGGCTGGCAGGGAAGGGAATGATCTCCATGCTTGGCCTGCACTGCCCCCATGTGGAAGGCTGTGCAATTACAGCCAACCCAGGAGCCTAGAAGAGGACACCCCTGCTGTCCAGTCCATGCCCATGCACTCTTAGACTCCACCAATTGCCGCCTGTAACCCAGCCTGTCCTCACACAGCCTTCCCATCGTCAGTCTTGTCAGCTCACATCCTCCTGGACAGGAAAAGGTGCTGGGCAGCGGTGACTGCAAGTGTCCTGTAGTCACCATGCATTATGCTTCTGACCTGCAGGAGCTTCTACTCAGACAGCTGCTATCTGTCCATCAGAGCTGGGGGAGAGAGGCTTGATCCGTGTCTCAGATCCCCTCACCAGGCACCTCCTGTGCCCACAAGTGGTGGCCCCACGCAGTTTGCACCCAGAAAGGTCTAGGCTGCTCGCTTTTCACAAACACCTCTGGCTGAACAACCCACTCACCTGGCTGGAGAGAAGACACTGATGCCACTACTGAAGCTGGAGTCACAAGAAACATCGGGGCCTCCTGGGAGAGTAAGAGGAACAATGCGTCATGCCAAAGGCTGCTGGGCCTTTTGAATGAACAAGATCCCGGTTATAAAAACACAGACTCTCGGTCCCCCGCACCTGGATTCCAGCCCTTGAAAAGGAACATGGACACACCACGGCTGCTCATACCCCAAAGCGTGGGGATAGGACCCGTGCTTGGACGAGTTGAGGCATGTGACCTCACAAGGAGAGGGACACCAGCCCCGGGCTCATCTGGGAAAGGTCAGAAGGGACTTCTGGCCCGAGGGCAATGGATGTTAAAAGTAACTTCTGGGACATTCAACATCGTTAGCTGCCAGGTACATGCAACGCAAAACCGCAACGAGATACCACTCCACACCCACTCCGATGGCTAACACACACGAGAGGTAATAGTAACACTTGGTGGTGAGGATGTGGGGAAACTGGAAGCCTTACACCCTGCTGGTGGGAATGGAAACCAGACGGGCAATTCCCGAAAACGCTAAACAGCTGCCAGCTATAGGGAAGCTGTCTCTTCTCCATTTACCTAGCAATCTGCCCATCCATCCTGTAACATTATGGACACATATTTTATTCTGTGGGTTAAAACTATTATTACGTATATTGTTCAAATGGTACCAGCCTTGGCCTCTGAACAGTTTTAAATTATACGAGTAAAACATGTCCTCACTCTGAAAATGTCAGAAACAAAGCCAAGCCCGTCCCTCCTCAGCCTTTGATCTTCGCTCTGCGCGCAGGAAACTACTGAACCAGTTAGACAGGTGCCCTCTCATCACTGCTCAACAGAAAATCTGAGCTGAGAGAGCCTTTGGAGGACGTGGCACAGCGCGGTGGGGGCTGGGCATGAGCTGGACCTGCTGAGCAGCCCCCGGGGCAGAGGAGGATGTGTGTGTGTGGGGGGGGCAGGCTGGCCTGGACCAGCAGCCTGGAAAAGCAGCTGGAGCTCCATGCCCCTGGTGGCCTCTCCCCTCTCATCTTTCAAAAACACACATATTTATAGACGGAATGATGTGATGTCGGAAACTGGCTTCCAATTAATTTCGATTGTTTCCTAATTTCGTTTACATCCTCCCGTGCTTCCTTATGCACGAGGGTAAGCATTTCTCCAGATCTCCTGAACACGGGGGCTGCTGGTAGGATGGTCAGGCATCAGACACTCCAACAAATATTGCCAAGTGGCCCTTTAGGAGGGTTCTCCCGCTGTATATTCAAGAAAGGAGGAACAGTCATTCCCATGAAGCCCCCACAGGGATATCAGTCATCCTTCAAATGTTTGCCAAGCTGAATAAAAATCATAGTTTTCCTTTGCAATTCTCGGAGCCCCAGTCAGGCCACGCACCTTTGGCTGCCCTTTTGTATTAATTCCCTCGTCCGAGAACCACAGTGTAAACATCGCTATGAGCAGAGACTCAGGTCCCTGGGACTGGGTGTGAGCACTGACTCCTCTCCTGGCTGTGGACCCTTGGGCAGGTTACTTGACTTGTTCCTCACCTGTACAGTGGGGTAATGACAGTATTGACACCACAGGCTTGCTATGACAACAATGGGCTACCACCTGTTAGATGTTTAAAAGGAAAAACCTATTTATTTCCTTAAAAAAATTCTTAAATATTTAAGGCTTCTGATACATGCTGCTAAATTTATTTGCCAGACAATATATTTAACTTGTTTACTTTTTGCTTTAAACCAGTAGGAATGTCTGTTTCTTCCCCCAAATCTCTTCTTTATAATTAGAGTATAAATGGGGGTGAGGATGGGGGAGAGTGGAAGCTAAAGAGAAAGAAAAGATCCAGTTCAAATAACCCCCCTGGAGCCTGGCAGGGCCCCGTGACCACGCCCAGAGTCACAGGGCGACTCACCGGCAGCCCAGCCCTGAGCTCCTGCAGGCAGGTGCCGGCCCGTCCCTGCACCTGCAGAGCCCACAGGAGGTGCTGATACACCCACCGCATCAGAACTCCGCAGCGGATGGATCCATCACGTGCTGCCCCCAGTCACCAGCCCTGCACGGAACCCTATTTATAGCTCTGCTCCTCACTTGCCATATGGACCTCAACCCCTGACCCTCTCCTTCCCTCCTTTAGGACCCGCTTGGGCAAGGCTAGTGATTAACACAAGGGAGAACACTGCTAAGGAGATGGATCTATTATAACTGGAATGAAAGCAACCAGGCCCTAGAGCACCTGGAACTGAGTGCCTCTCTCATGTGCTAAGAGCTTTATGTGCAAAACTCTGGTCTGAAACTTGCCCTCACACTGTGGGCTGTGTCATCACTGCTGCCCTATTTAACAAACAAGGAATCTGAGGCATAGAAAGACCAAGTCACTTGCCCAAAGGCAACAGATAGGAGGTTAACAGAGCCAGGTCACGGCACATGAGACCATTAGGGAATGTCACGGAGAGGGACAGGAAGGACACATCACGTCCCACAGGAACTCAGAGTCAGAGAGGGACCCTGCACTGGACTCCCACTGGCAGGAGGGCTGAGGGAGAGCCAGAGAAAGCAGAGGAGGCTGGGTGCAGCGTGGCACCCACATGAGCCTGTCCCGACCGGAGCCCTGTGGTGAGAGGCGAGGGAGAAGCAGTGTGCGAGTCTGTGTGTGTGAGTGCGTGCTCATGCACAGAAGGCCTGGCTGACAAGTCTCCCATGGGCGTGGCCAGAGGCGTGCGGTGAAGGAGGAGGTGTGCTGTGGGATGCAGCAACACAGACTGAGCCAGGAGGGAGACACGAGGCGAGGGAGAGCAGGCGGAGGCTCTTGCTTTTCCAGGAGGGCCCGGTTGGAAGAGAGGAGCAGAATGATTGGAGGAAGGGGGAGTTTGGGATGAACCCGTTGACCAGTGAACTCATCACTCTTTCGGCTTGCTGGCACCTTCTCCTGGAACCTTGGTAAGGTGCTGGTTAATTACAAGCAGGGCTGGAGTGGATGCGGAGCCCCCAATTAGCTGTTGCCAGCTCTGAGAACTACCGTAAAGTGAGCTAAAGTGAGCGTTGTGTCTGCCGAAAGGCTGTTTATGAGGCAGTAAAATGTGAAGCCAAGTTGCCTGTATGCATCTTGGTTAAGATAAGATTCTCCTGAGCAGGGAGCTGTTTCTAGAAAGCTAAGGAAAACTACTTAAAACCTGAGATAATTATGCTGCCTTGAGCAGGAATGGAACCCGGGCCTCCTGGGCAGCGGGCAGGAATTCTACCACTGAGCCACCAACGCTCCAGCTGGTTTCCCAGCCGCTACCTCGACCACAGGATGGTGGTTCCTTTCCAGAGGCCTGACTGGTTGTCACATAAGCAAACATACTTTTGCCCCACTCTATATAAGCTGTATGACCTCAAATACATACAATGCAAAAAATACGCCAAATCATAATACTAATTGGCTCTTGGTGGGAATAGTCCTGCTTTTTTTATATTCCCCCTCCCCCCAAATTTTCTAAAACGAGAATTAAAAATGAAAAGATTAAAAAATACTCATATATCAGTCAAAGTTCACAAGACAAGTCTATGCCCGAGATTCTTCTAATATCTCTCAGAGAGAAAGCTCCTGCCTTGGGAGGCTCCTACTAACTTATCTCCCCAAGTTTCCTTTTTCAAGGAGCTGCCAAAAAAGGTGCCAGCTGCTGCATTGGCCGGGAATCGAACCCGGGCCTCCCGCGTGGCAGGCGAGAATTCTACCACTGAACCACCAATGCTCCAGCTGTGTGCTGCTCTGCCTCCAGCTGTTTTGCTACTGTGGCCCAAGAGGCCAGGCCCCGCTGTAACGTGACACCTGAAAGAATCCAGCACGCCACACCCACGGGAGGAGGCCAGGGCAGCGTGCCTGCAATGCTCACATAGAATGGCCAGGGGAGAAAATGCTTTCTCCATTCTTTCCTCCTGGGACAAAGTCCCAGACTCACAGATTTGAGTAGGTTCCGCATCAGTGTACTCTCTGGCTGATTCTGTAAAGGAGCACATCGCCCCAAAGCTGATCAGTGACCTCAGTGAGGACAGACATCGAGAGAGAGAGAGATAAAGTCAGTTCTAGACGATATTTAGAGGTTCAAACTCCGGACTGCAATCGGCAGAAACATGGTTTTCTTCACGTTACAGAGAAACAAGACAATGATGCTAAAGGAGTCTGAAAGGAGAGCAGAGTCGTTCCATTTTTTAAAGACACTGATTATGACAGAATTCTCCCGGACTGAATAAGCTCCCTCTGTGAGGATTACGGGACGCAGTAAGAGCAGCCAGCTTCAGGGCGGCTGCATGTCTACAGCCAAGATTCAAGAGATCTGTACTGCCACGCTCCACCCTTCCCACACAGAAAACCATTTCTGTAGCTGAGCCCAGAGAAGGATTCAGGGGAGGAGTAATGGCTTTCTAAGCAAAAGGGTTAAGAGCACAAGCTCTGTAGACAGACTGCTAGGATTCAAATCCCAACTCTGATACTTAGCAACGGCCAGGTCCTGGTTGTGTGATCTATCTTCCCCATGTCTGTCGGTACAGCGGGGATCATAGCGTCTCCCACCTTATTGAGTTGTCATGAGTTAACATATGGAAAGTAGTTAGTGAGGCTAACTACGACCAAATCAACTACGACCTCTGGTTCCCTGGTGCCCGGCCTGGGAGGTGAGGGGCAGGAGGCAAAGCCTACTCACCACTGCCTGGCCCCTCCTGCTTCGCCAAAGAGTCGTCGGGGATGGGGTCTGCCTGCCTCTGCACCACTGGCTTTGGCTCCTCAGGCTCATCGTCCTCAGGGGTGACCAGCTTCATGAGGCTCTGGTTGCACACGTTGGCTACCTCCTTGATGCCTGGGTCCACTGATGTAAGGAGCATCCCCATTCGGGGGCTTCCCTAAGCCCGAGTGCACCGGCATCGGTCAGGGCTCGGTCCTCTTCAGAGGCGTGTTAGTGGGCAGACGGCAGTCTGAACAGAGTGCATGTCCTCCTGCCACACTGGTGTCCCCTCAAGATGCCCGTGACTCGTAGGGCCTCTGCCTGGTGGACCTCCCACTAACAGGACTCTCCCACCCTGGCTGGGCAGTGAGCTCAGGGGTTGGAGCGTGGGCCCAGAGCTGCTCCAGATCTGTAAGCAAGCAGGACAGCTTCGGTGCTACCTTGGCGCTCCCAGTCTGTGTCCAGCAACACCTCCCGTTCCCTTGATCCCAGGGACTAACTGGAGGGGCCCCATCCCAAGGGAGACCCACCCCACTGCAGGGTCCTGCAACCTCACAGCGCCCTGCGGGGCTGCTCTCGCTTCCTTTCTCCGGAGCAAAGGATACTCTTCTTGCGGTCGTCGTAGGCCAGGCAGGGCAAGACGGCGGTCAGGATCCCGGAGGAGTAGGGCAGCATCGCCCGGCCGGCCAGCTGGATGAACTCCCTCATCCAGCACATGGCTGTCAGCTGGATCAGGTCGTCTGGCAGAGGGAGGGGCGGGTTCCAGGACGGTCAGCACGAGCAGCGAAACGCTCCGTCCCACCGACCATGCCCACAGATGAGACTGGGAGGCCCTGAGGGCTTTTGCTGCTGCTGGCCTCACCAGTACCCTCTCACCCTTGCTCTCTGCCTCCCGCGGGGTACATCCAGTTCCATGTTGGAATGGAGCAACAGCGTGTGGCAGGCTGTAAGAGCAGCCACGATCCTCTCCCCCTCTCTGCGTCTGTGCCCACCACAATGGGGTTGCACAGCTTCTCTCATCAAGGGGTGAGTCCATTTCTCCACTTTGGCCAACAGAAGGTGGTAACGTGATGATGTGCCTGGTTTAAGCCTAAGCTTCGAAAGGCCTTGCTCACTTGTATGTGAGTGCACTGGGCTGGCCTGCTGGAAGGACACATGGACCCAGGGGACAGCCAGCCAACTACCAGACACGAATGAGGCCACCCAGACCACGGAGCTGCAGCTACCCCTCCAGTTGACTGCAGGTGCGTGGCCAAGCCCAGTCACACCTCGTCCAGGTGAGCAGAACCACCCAGCGAACCCAGTAAGTCTGCTGTGTCAAGCAGTTACATCTTGCAGAGGTTTGATCCTCAAGAGAAGCTAACAGAAACACAATCCTAACCACAAGCATTTCAACGCATGGTGCTAAGGCCGGCTTCCCACCAAGAGGGCCTCCGGGTTTTGCACCCGTCCAGGGTCCGGCCAAGGAAAGGGCCTCCGTGCTGAGAGAACCCGAACCTCTCTCACAAGGACCCGGAGCTCCACTGCTCGGGATCGCGTTGCGCCAGTTCCCACTCCTGCCCGGACTCTTTCCCAGACGGTGAGAGACAAAGGAGCGTCTGGCGGGGTGGCAGGGCCTGGGCCTTCACACACTCACCCGTGGTCTGGCAGTGGATCACCAGGATGTTGGCCATCTCGGCAAACTTAACACTGGAGGGGTTCTTCTTAATTTCTTTCAAGAATTCTCCAAGGACCACTTCACACCTGCCAATGAGAAGGGACGAAGCATATGGCAGCCAGGGCCCATTTCTGCTCTGGGTCGGAACGACACTTTGAACTTGTCAGATGAACTTGTCAGAGGCAGGGGGCTGAGCTCTTAGCTCCTCACGGTGGGAAGCACATAAACCAGGAAGAAGAGCAGGAACTTCTTGTTCTGCTGCCCGCTGTCTGTCTGTGTGGGATACGTGTGCGCACTGAGGGGCCCTGGATGGTGGCAGCTGCCTGCCTCCTTCCTCCACTCACATTTTCCGAATCTCTTTGCCGTTGTCACCCAGGATCTGGAAGAGTCCATCCAGGATCTCTGGCAAATAATCCAGCAGGTTAATGTCTGGCACCGACTCCAGAACCAGGATCTGACCCAGGGGAAGAAACCAGGAGGGAATGTTACCCCAGCCCAGAGCCATCGCCGCCTCCTCCTCCCCAACCCTCGGGGCCTGGGCAGTGAGAAGGGCCTGCTGAAGCAGCATTTCCTGGTACTGCGGGTGCCCCCTGCACATGCGGGCAGAGAGGTGCTAGCAGCTATGGCTTTGGTTAACAGTGCAGGGGAACAGTAACGTAACCACCAGGAAATTCAGATGCCATGGGGGAGCGGGGAGTACATGGGAAGGAACAGATAATCTAGAAGAGGTGTGATTGTCAGAAGTAGCCTACTGGCTTTAAAGGGAAATTGGAGTTTCTCAGAAAAAAGAAAGAATTGTATCCTCACAGGGACAAGCTGAATAAACGTGTGTTCAGATTATCTGGTGTCACTGGAGATGAGATTAATAACGAGGCGCCTCTGCAGCCACAGAACCTGGCCAGGTGTCCAGAGAGCAGATGTGACCAAGCCAGAGGCTCGTCTCGGCTGGAGAGGGTGCTGGGCCGGCCCTTACCCAGGAGATGATGAACTGCCGGGCGTACTGGTTGTTGGAGTAAATCCTCTCCCGCAGCAAGGGGATGAAGCCCACCAGGTCAAACTTGTTGCTCTCCGTCACGATGTCCTGTGGGCCAAAGGCGCGTGAGCTGCTGAGTGAGCCTGAGGGAGGGGCAGCCTGGCCTGGCCCAACCCCTGCCCAGGGCTGGCTCCAGGGGTCAGACAGCCAGAGAGGAAAATGGGTGACAGAGCCGTTCTGTATTTTGCTTGTGCTGGTGCCTTAAGTCCACACACTCATCAAGCCCAGCCAAGGTAAGGATAAACATCAATGAACTGTACATCAAAGAGTGACCTTTACTGCATGTATATGAACAAATTTAAACGAATTAGGAAGCGTGCCCCAGTGACAGAATTTATAAGTGGTACAGACAGATGTGAGAAATAGATTCTAGAAAGAACAGTGGGCATCGAGTACAAATACCTTTAAAAGGCGGTCTAGCAGCTCAGATCCGCTTTTCACATTGGGGTCTGGGTCAGCAGCCAACTACGAGACACAGAGGAGAGAGACAGCAGAGGTCACGACATCTATGGAAAACCCACGGCCAAGGCCCTGGCACGGCTCGGAACACTGAACGGGTTCCTCTTTCAGTGAATAAATTTATTCAATAAATAAACCGAAGGAAGGTAAGGGAAGGGGGATGGGCAAGATGGGACCTGGCGAGTGAGCTGAGGTTGGGTGGACACCCCGCTCTGTCAGGGACTTCTGGGACCCGCTGGAAGTCCCACCACCTGCTGCCCCCGGGTCAGGCTGCTTCCGGCCCGCCTCTCTCAGGGTTTTGGATCTTAACTTGCCGGGTCCTCTCTCCGCTCTTGGAGGAGGGGACCAAGGCAGCCATGAGGCTGATACTCCAGCAGTGACTATGGCCTCAGCCGGCAGGCAGCAGAGCTTGGTGCCTGGGAGGGAGTCCACAAACTTGGCGCTTCCCTCAGCCCTTACAGGCTGGTGCCTTCCTCACAGGGGAACTACACTCTGTACCGGGATGCACCACCTTCACCTTCTATAGGGAAGCTTAGGCTTTCCAAACTATCAGTTCCCCCTCCAATCTGCAGGTACTTTCATAAACTGCAGTAAAGGTAAATTAAGAGGGAAATGAGAAAATATATAAATAGAAGCCCATTAAACACATCACTAGATGGAACAGACAAGTGCCCCTGACAACTCTGTGTTTATCTGCTCGGCCTGCATTTGGGAAAGGGGCCCGAGCACTCAGGTCCTGGGAGGTCCAGTTAGGTGGGTGGTGTGAGCTCAGCCCAGCCGGAGTGAGGAGCGGTCACCTTGCTCAGCCCGTCAAAGAGCACGTTGAAGTGGGGCAGCACGGCGCCCCGGGCCACCTTGACGATGTTGTAGAGGGCCTCGCAGGCGTAGTAGCGCAGCCTGCTGTCTGCGTCATTGAAGCAGGTCAGCACCGGCTCAATCAACTCCTTCAGGTAGAGCCCTGAGTCCTGGGGTGGGGAGGAGGAGAAACAGGTCAAAAAAGGCCGGCCCCCAGCCCTTGCTCCCCACCCTGTGCTCCCCTCCCCCCTCAGTCCTCAGTGCCACCTGGCATCCCAAGTCTTTGTGTGGGGCTAGGCTTAAAGGCTCTTTGCAGGTTGGCCTCCCAGGACAGGGGCCCAGGCCAGGGCATAAGGCTGCAAGACCTCGCTGCTTTAGGTGTGGAGAGAATGGCAATAAAACACAGGTCTGCAAAGCCCTGTAGGGTCTCGGGTCAGAGTCAAGGCCGTGGCTGGCGTGTCTGTCCCTCCGGGAGAAAGGCCCACCTTGCCCAGCGCGATGGAGCAGGCGGCCAGGCCGATGAGGCCCCCTTTCCGGCTGTGGGGGTGCTGAGACAAGGCAAACTCCTGAGACAGGGTCTGGATCACATGCTTGATCTGCACGGTGTTGTTCTGGGCCACGAACTCCCGGACCAGCCTGGAGAGAGAGGGAGAGGGGCTGCAGGGCCAGTGCAATCAGCCTGTCCTGCTGCTGCTCCAGGGCCGGGCTGGCAGGAGGGGGAGAGATGACCGGTTTAGAGAGAGGAGTTGGGAGCAGGCACGCCAGGGTAGGCCTTTCCCAGGGCTGCTGCTGACCGGGAGGCGCTGGCTGGGTCACGGCTGTTCCCTATTCTGGGTCTCAGTTTCCCTTTGTGTACAACAGAATGAGGAACAGTGGCGCTATCTCACTTCCGGGAATCTGACGGAATGCAAGTGAACACCTTGTTGGGGAACAAGAACTACAATGAGTTATCAGTTGGTCAACCACCTTTATTCAACACTTGCTCAACCCTCCTTCAGGGCACGCCAGCAGGCCACAGGTTCTGGGTCTGAGTCTTTATTTCCAGGGAAGGTGCTGAACCAGGTCCCCATCCAATGGGCAAGATCCACACACTGACAAGCACGAAACTGTAGCAATGTGGCTGCAGAAGCCACACTGATGGTACAGAAGCATGACAAATGCCATGGGCCAACTTTCTTGGGCTGACTGGCCATTTGAGTCAGATCTTAGGAAGATCGATAGGTGTTTTTTGGGCAAAGGGATAGGAAGGCATGGTGTTCTATCTCAGGGACCGGGAAGCAGAGGCAAGGAGCTCTGAAAAGACATGCATGCTTAGGGAAGGACGAGGAGTCTGGTGTGTGGAAGGAGCGACCAGACAGTTAAAGGAAACGACAAGCCGGTGCCAGTTTGCCAGCAATGGGGTGACTCGCTCAGATCTGTGCTGAAATGCGGTGCTTCTGGGGGCCGCCCGGGAAGGCTGGGCTGACAGAAGGAAACTGAAAATCCCCACAGGAGAGCCCCACAGCCATCAGGGTCAGCAAGGAGAGGCTGCAGGATGGCCGAGGCATGGGAAAGAACAGGGAGGGACTGTCTTACTTTCTACAGAAAAGCATGAGAAGCCCATGTAACATGGGAGAGGAAGCACAGCTATGACTCTGAGGTGTCTGCCTGGTGAGGGACGCTAACAGGGAGGAGGGAGATCTGAACTCATGGCGCCTGTGGTCACCTAGGGCAGTGGTCGGCAAACTGCGGTTCGAGAGCCACATGTGGCTCTTTGGTCCCTTGAGTGTGGCTCTTCCACAAAATACCACGTGTGGTGTGCACGTGCGATTGAAACTTTGTGGCCCATGCGCAGAAGTCGGCTTTCAGCTCTCAAAAGAAATTTCAATCTGTTGTACTGTTGATATTTGGCTCTGTTGACGAATGAGTTTGCCGACCACTGGGCTAGGGGATGCTCCCAAGGCAGCCCTGCTCTGAGTGGAGGAGAGTACAGGAGGCTCAGATCCATCGGGGACCAGTCTGTTTTCACACCCCAGCGGATATAAAGGCCAAGACACTATGTCCTTCAGAAAAGAGTATTAAGAAGCCCGAGATGGATGGGGAGGGACCGAGGATGAGGGCGGTCTAGGGATTAGGGACTTTACAAGCAGCTGCCTGGACTCTCTGTCTGATCACTTTGTGCCCATCAAGGCAGGTACAATGATTGCCTGTTGCATAAACAGCACGTTTGCTTGAAGAATTTTAAAGAACATCTAGTCCGAAAGGTATCAATTAACCTATGTGGTTCCTGCGCAGTGTCAGGAACCTGCTAGTAATGAGGGCAGTCCAAAGATAAATGTGCCACCCTATGCGGCAGTGACCAGGCCTGCAAAAACACTGTTCAATGAGGGGTTGGCAGGGTTTGATAAAGATTTAATGGAGCAAGCTTATGGGGCACCTATTCTGTGCCGGGCACTGTGCGGACAGGTGAACAAACTGGCTGGTTCCTGAGCCGGTGGAGGTGAGAGCAGAGCCGGGCATGTCAGGAAGGGGCTGTGCAATGGCCTGGGAGGTGCCTCTTCCTTTGATCTTTCGAGAATGAGATTCCACCAAGCCCATCCAGGTACAGACAGTCCTTGGGTTACGTCGGACTCAACGTATGTCACGTCATTTCGAGGTTACGTCGCCATCTCCCGTTTATTTATAGAAAATGTTTGGTCATTTCGATGTATGTCCATTATGTGCTTTATGGTTTTTTAAATTATTTATTTACCACAAGTAAAGGTCAGGAATTGTTATCTTTCTTTTAAAAATGTTTTTACTGTTTCACTTCATTACTGCTGTGTATGTGCTCCATGTGAGTGGCATAGGTGCGTATGCAGGTGGGTTCCGACTTAGCGAGAAAATCATGTTTCGTTGCACCGTAGGAACAGATCTCTAGCGTAACCCAAGGACGTACTGTACTGAGGTTTTGGACAAATCAAGGGCCTCCGGGTGTAAACTCAATGTCCGTTTCATAGGTTCCCCCCGCCCCTCCCAAAGCAGGATAAGGCCCAGCAAGGGTGGTTCTCTATAAACCAGTCTGGCTTTCCAAACAGGACGAACCAGCCAGGTGAGGCCAGCATCTGCTAGGCCTCTTCTGTGCCTCCGTAAGATACAGTCCCTTGAGAAAAGCCCTGAAGATGCATCAGCAAATAGCTTGAGCATTGGTGGTTCAGTGGTAGAATTCTCGCCTGCCACGCGGGAGGCCCGGGTTCGATTCCCGGCCAATGCAGTGCTGTTCTTTTTGCCTTTCCCTGGCAGGTTTCCCCCTCGCACAGAGATCCCACTGGAGGAGTCAGCCTCCTCAGGGCTGAGAATCTAACCACACTTCCCTGCTCAGCCAGTGGACAGCATTAGGGTTCTCCAGAGAGGCACTGCTGGCTGTGGGACCCAGGCCTCAAGTCCTTCCCAGTGAGGGGACTCCTGCTGCGCCCCCTCAACCTTGGCCAGCTTCCAGCAGGAAACTGTGGTGAAACCCGAGAACCTAAAAACAGCTCAACTAACATGTGAACACAGAATGGGAGGACCCACCCATTAGAGACATCGGAGGGGAGAAAGTCACCCAAAGTTGCAATGTGCTTTTTGCTACTGAGGACTTGAGCTCTAGTTTCTGTCCTGAGGTCTGAAGGCATCCCCCCTCCCGCCTCTCTCCCTCCCTCCCAACTCTGCCTCCACATAAGCTTCCTGTTCTTCCAGCTGCGCTGATGTGGCAGATTTAGAGCCTGGCCTTGTTTTGAATCAGTATATATCCAGGCAGGCCTGAAATTAAAGGGAGGTGCTCACACAGCTGCTGGCAGCTGGAGCATTGGTGGTTCAGTGGTAGAATTCTCGCCTGCCACGCGGGAGGCCCGGGTTCGATTCCCGGCCAATGCAGCAGCAAACTTTTTAAATCCTAGGAGGCTGAATTTGAGATCTCACACTGCCTAAGGAATTAATGAATAGTCTGAGAGCCGAGAACAACTTGCATTCCACAAAAATCTAGAACCTGTGTCTCCTTGTTCTTGAGGAGTCCAGGGGAAAATCATCAAGGCCCTGAGACAGCCTGCTGGGAACTCTGCCTGCCAACAGCACACCCAAAAAGGCTGGGCCATGTTTCTGCTCACCGGGGGTGGGAGTGAGGATGTGGATTCACCAGGGGATTCAAACCCCCAGCCCTGGCAGCAGCACAGGCCATGCTGGAAACACCTCCTCACCTGTCTCCTTGTTTCAGGTCACAAATGGTCCCTGAGCGACTGGAAAGGGTACCCTTCCCTGTTCTAGATCAGGCTCGACCAGCGCCAGGATTCCTGTATCTCTGAACACAGCGGGTGAAGAATCAGGAAGCACCCACCGGAGATGGATCTGTGACAGCCAGCAGGCTGCAGTTCATCACAATTTGCAGGGCAAACACAGCAAAGCTCTGCTGCCGCGCTGGAGACACCAGGGCGGGGATCTGCTAAGCTAAATCTAACCTGTTGGGTCAATCAGTATCGTTTTCAGATGGTCCTAAGCCCTTAGTGTTATAATTCAAGTTATCTTAAAAAAAAAAAAAAAAAAAAAAATATATATATATATATATATATATATATATATATATATATATATATTGATTTCAGAGAGGATGGATGAGGAGGGAGAGAGAGAGAGATAAACATTAATGACGGGAATCATTGATTGGCTGCCTCTTGCACGCCCTCTACTGGGATCGAGCTCGCAGACTAGGCATGTGCCCCTGCCGGCTCTATCCACTGAGCCAAACCAAGTAGGGTATAATTCAAGTTATCTTTACGAGGATCCCAAAGTGCACCCTGCGAATGGCCCTGGCGGGCATCGCCCAGGGTGAAGGGTGCTCCGAAGCTGCCGGCAGCAGTACCTGGCCTCTGCTTCCCGGGCACGTGGGGAGGGAAGAGCACAACTACAAAGCACGGCAGAACAAGGGCCAGCCTAGTCTCTCTTCAAAGGACTACACGTCTCCTCTTCCATCTCCAGTGGCGAGCCACAGGTGGGCGGTCTGAAGCCGAACTAGTTTTGAAGTTAATACTTGGCTCAGAGACTCTCACACTCACAACGCCTGGGACCTTCATTGTGAGCATAAAGGTCGCAGGCGTCGCCGTTTCATCTGTCAGAGAGAGACCGCTTCCTCTCTGACAGTGCTGAGAACGCTGGCTGCCGAAGTGCCCGTGGAGGCGGTGTCCACTGCCAGAGGAGTCCCGGGACACCTTTCCCCACGCCTGTGACGTGCCCCGACCCACAGTGCCAAGTGCTACACCACCCACCTGCTCCCTGATAGGAGGAGGAGCCTCAGGCAGGGTAAGACATTCAGGATCATCATCAGCCAAAGGAGAGCCTGGGTCACCATCTCAGCAACACAACCACAGCCCCTCACTGGACCCCTGACACCCTGCCTCCGGGAAAGCGAGTCCTTTTCCTGAGGTCCTGGAGGATCAGAACCCTTGATGCACCTGCAAAGCCCATGCCCTTTCAGCTGTAGCCCAGCTCCCCTCTCCCACCTCCTAAACCAGTTCAGCTGCACGGTGGTCCTGAGTGAGATGCGGCTTCCCCACACATCTCGCCACACTGGTCAGGGAGTACAGGTGAGGTCTTTTGACACAAAGCCCTAGCGCTGGGTTTCTACTGTGAAGGTAGGAAATAGGTAC